GGCAGTGTGATGGGAGAAGGGTGTTTCACTTGCGAAAATTCTATGAAAAACAAAAGGCAAAAAGATAAAGCGAAAATAAAACGCATCAAATGGAGTTTAGTGTTTAGTAACTACATCCAGCATCCTCTTACATCAACTATGCATATAAATTACAATTATATATATATAGAAATCAATATATTATATCGTAAATTGTAACATTACATAAATTTATTGTACTGGAAGAACAGAAAGAACCCCAAGCATAGAGAGAGACGCACATTTGGAGTGCTCCAGAAACAGCAGAAGAAAATGAATCAGCAGGAAAGCTAATAAATAATACAGTTTAATGGTAATAAAATAAAGAAAAACAAAACAAAAATCTATCAAATGCGAAACCGAACTTACATTACAATCTAGAAACATAAACAACTTTTTGCAGTACTGATTATACTGATTTGGAGGGTACGGATACCACGAAACCCCATACGAATAATAATATATGAATAATATAATATATAATAATAATTATTATTAACAAATGAAATCAATGGCATCTCACCTGGGATGCTGGTCAAGTTACATATACATATATAAAATACAGAATGCTAGCATTAAAATATCAAATAACATTAATATTACATATAACATTATGTAGTAGTTACACCAATACACACCAACAACAAATACAACAACAATTGCTATATAAATAATAACAACAAAAGAACAACAACAAGAAAAATCAAACAAACAAGATGCAAAATAAATAAAAATACAACAAAAAAATGTATTAAATTATGAGCGCAGTGGTGCGTAGTTCTTTTAATGAATTTTCTAGGTGCCGACGTTTGAGCATACTCCTTTGAAGGGGAGAGGTTCTTATGGGATTTCTGAGCATACTTTTCTCATTATGATTTAGCTCATTAGACAAATAATTAGGATAGGAGTCTGTCTTTGCTCGTGTCAATCTCTTTCAAAAGATTTAAAAGCTGACCAGCAGCTAGTTGTTGAAATCCGAACTGAGGATAGCATTTGATACTACTAAAAGTTCCTAAGTTCTACCAAGAAAGGAGCCAATTGATTGATCGATTGGTTGATTTCCCAACAAAACGTTTCCCTGGGTAACACCTGGTTGCCAATGAAGCGAACATGGAAACCGAAATATAAATCAAAAATACAAATCAGAATAGTCTCCAGAATAGCTCCAAGCAAACACACACAAAAATCGGAAATCCAATAAGTTTTAGAATATTATTTGACCCTCTCTAGAGGCAGCAATTCCCAATTAAAATGAATGAAACGGACGACATAAAGGCGGCATCGCTGGATGACTTTAAGATGGAGGCAATGGCCTCCATGGGTTGGACAGTGGATGCTGATATACCCATGGCTAATGCCGAGAATCTGGCCATTCTCAAGGAGCTGGAGGGCATGAGGCTCATGAAGTTGGAACTGATGCATTACATGAATATGCTGGATGAGCGGGATCAGGCGGTGGTTAGGCATGCCAAGAACATTGAGGGAACCATCCAGCAGAATGAGGTAAGTAGAAATAGAAAATAGAGCTGCAAGGATAACCAAGGATTTGTAACCCCCCTGCAGACCCTGTACAATTCACTGCAGAAGGATGTGGTGAAGGAGGCCCACAGGGTGCAATTGGTAATACTGGAGCGCCACAAGATCAAGGAGGATCTGCGCAAGACCCAGAAGGAGCTGGAAGAGTACACCGAATATGCAGAGTTCACACAGCGCAAGATCTGCCTGAACAGACGGGAGATCGATGATCTGACATCGCGCATCAAGAGCGCCAAGACCACGCTGATGGAGTGGACGGAGGCCATGGAGGATGGCAACAAGGGGTACCAGTTGATAGAGAAATACTATCTGGACGATCAGCAGAAGGCCCGAGAGTTGAACACGCGCCGCCAGCAGCTCCAGGCGGACATTGACAAGCGTCGCAAGTTGGTCGTCCAACTCTACGACGAGCAGAACACCCTCGAAAAGAACCTGGAGCGAACGGCATGTCTGTACCGGGCGGCCCATGTGGAGCGCCGCCAGATGGTGGAAACGTGGAAGAACGCCGTCAATCAGATGACCCAGCGCGAGAATGACATCCAGCGCAGCGAGTCCGAGTGTGCCATGCTGATGGAGGAGGCGGGCACCATCGCCCAGCAGTACAAGCAGCAGGACCAGCAGTTGGACGAGGTCATCGAGAACAATCGCCAGGTGGAGTACGGCATCGAAGCTCTGAATACCGAAACATCGGACATGAAGAACCTCATCCAGCAAGTGATTGATGCGGCCATACTCAAGGATCGCGAAATCGACTCGCTGCGCAAGGAGCTGGAGAATCTCTCCAACCGGGTGCACGTGCAGCGCATGGAGAATCGGAATTTGGTCAAGCAACGTGAGGCCAAGAAGCAGGAGATCGAGGGCTTTACGGCTGCGATGGAGCAGGTGACGGGGCGACTGAAGTCGCTCGAAAACAAGGCCCTGAATGCCGATCAGCGACTGAAGATACTCGAGGATATGATGGAGAGCGAGGAGGAGATGCTTAAGAATCTCGAGAAGGAGCAGCAAAAGGTCAATGATCTGCTCTTCCGCACCCAGCGACAGGTGACAGAGCTGAAGGACGAGGAGAAGACCCTCCAAGTGCAAAACGATTCCCTTGCCTGCACACTGGCCGCGCTGAAGCGAAACCAGCGCCAGGTGAACCACGAGCTGCAGCGACAGACCGAGATCCACTACAATCTGTGCTTCAAGTTCCTGAAAGTTGAGCGTCGCTACGCCCTGATGAGTGGCAGCCAGGACGATCCAGAGGTGGAGGAGCGCAACCTGAAGATATTGTCCAATTTGGAGCATGAATACGAGAAGCTGCAGCGTCTGATCGCCACCACAGAGGCGCAGAACAAGAAGCTCAACTACAACATGAACAACATGGTCATCCAGTACAACGCAGACGAGAAGGAGCTGGACATGGTGAGGTTCAAGATCAAGGAGGCGCAGGTCTACTGCGAGGGCACCGTGAAGCGACTGCGCATGAATCGCTTCGAGAACTCCGAGCGGATTGTCGAGCTGAATATGGTGAAGATGCGCTGCAGCGACCTGGAGATTGGCATCGGCGGCTGCGACCAGGGCTCGTTTGACTTGGAACAGCATCGCATCATCTTCCAGCGGGCCATCAAGGATCGGACTGTGGAGCTGCGCAGCCAGGAGGATGTCCTCCAGCTGAAGCGCAAACATCTCAACGAGGAGCTGAGCACCCTGAAGGCCGATCTGGGCGAACGCAGGAAGCAAATCGAGGCCATGCGCTCGCGCTTCGAGCTCACCTCTCGCCTGCTGGGCAAGAACGATGATGGCTCTCTTGTGACCAGCACCCAGCTCAAGGTGGAGAGCGCCCAGAGCCGACAGCTGATGGCGGACGAGGGGGATGCCCTGAACAAGAAGGTGCTCAAGGCCGAGCAAGAAGTGATTGCATTGGAGAATACTCTGCGACAATTCGATCGCTCCAACAATAACTTTCGCAAGACCTTCGAGCCAGCGGACGAGAACTCAAAGGGTGAGTAATCATATCTAACGATTGTCTTGCTAATCATTTTCATTATCTCCTTTTGGGAAGATCGGGAACGTGCCGAAGCAGAGTTGAAGCAATTGGAGGAAGCCTACGCCAGGGATGTGGCGACATTGAAGCAATTGCGCTGCAAGAAAAATCGATATGACCAGAAGCTCACGGCCTTGAAGGGCGAGGAGGATGACCTGATCACACGCCTCGAAGGGGCCAAGAGACAGCGGGGAGAGCACACCGAGGAGCTGGAGAAGCTGCAACGGGATCTGGACGATCAGCGGACGAAACTGGAACGGGCGAACCGTGAGATTCGCATGCAGCTGCGAGAGATCAAGCAGCGTCCGATCAGTGAGGATTTCCTGGAACATTTTGAGCGAGATCTCAACCTGCAGGAGCTGGAGGCGCGCAACTCCAAGGCGCTGAACATGCTGGTGGACATGGCCAACAGCGATGAGAATGGTCCCGAAATCATTGACCAATTACTGCAGAAGGGCCTCAAGCTGCCCCAGCACTTGAAGCGCACTCGCAGCTGTGTGTCCTGGAAGACTCCCTCGTCGTCGTCTCAGGATGCTGGCTCCTACATCAGTGCCGCGGGCAAGGGCTTCCTGGCGGGCATCAGTGCCCGTTCCTCGGCCTCCGACTTAAGCTCCCTCAAGGATGATAGCTCCAGCGCCTCTGTCTCGGGTGTCAGCATTATATCCCTCGAGTTTCCCAAGCTAAAATGATTTCATTTGTATTTTAACCCATTTGTTTTGTTTCTTTTGGTACTATGATATCATAATTACGAATTTATTTTATTTTCTCCGGTCCCAGGCCCGGTCTTCAGTTGCTTGGCCATCGAACTGTTTACAAATCGGAACAGCAGGGAAAATGCGTTGCCAAAGCAGGCCCCAAAAAACAAGAGGAGAGAGCGCCAACCATAAAAATAGCAACCCAACAAATCCCAAGAAATTGTGCTAATAGATACTATATCGGTACGTGAGTGTAGCCTAGGGTATGCACATTTCTTATAAGCAAACAGCCCATGAATACCCTTCTGGCGGCAGAAGGCTACATCCATTTTCCACTTACAACTAGAGTAATCAAGTACGAGTGGTTATCCTCTAGATTTACTTGAACCCCATGGCAGTGCCATGTGTCTAAAATAATAAATTGCTGCTGGCTTTTAAGTAATCTGGCAAATGGCATAAACATATCATATACACATTCGACTGGCCCCTTCCCTTAGATGAGTTACAAAGACAGCCACAAAGGCAACGAGGCCGTTGCAACAACACAAAATATATCGGACAAATGCTATATCTATATATACAGTCTTTCAGAGAGCGAGCAGAGAGAGAGAGAGAGAGAGAGAGAGCTCGAATCGAATCGGAACGAAACGAAACGGGAATGTTGGAGAGATGTGAGGATGAGTTTTCAGTGTGTTTTCGAAATGCTTTCTGGGGCATTTCATTATTTTTCATTATTTCGCCTCGCTGGCATCATCGGGACCGTGAATCGGACGCAGATCTCGCTCGCTCGCTGGGGATCGGATGGGCCTGAAAATTTTTAAAAATTTTCACTGCAAGTATTTATAGAACAATTCTGAAAGAAAACCCGTTTGAGCATTCAGTGTTCTCGTGGTGGCATGGACTCCTGACGAACCGTGAAAATCCCCACAGAAAAAACCAAAACAAATATTCAAAGATTTGCATAAGACAGAGGCGAGTGAGTGATTGAGTGTTCGGTTGGGTATGTGTTCCACATCGGTGCTGTGTCCCCTGTGCGCTGTGCCCAGTTTTGGGAGCATCGATGCACTGCAGCAGCGGCTGATCAAGGCGGCCAATGGCCCCTTGGCCTGTCCGTTCTCCAACTGCAAGGAGCTGTTCCTCGGCCTGGACAAGCTGACGATTCATCTGTTCACGCACACCAGTCTGATGACCGACAGTCCTGCTGCCACAACGCCTGCTGCCGTTACGCCACCAGCTGCCCCACCAACGGTTGCGATTCCTGCACCCAAGCGAAGGGGTAAGCGATCAAAGGCAAAGGCTGTGGAGCCATCCCCCGCACCCGCAACCGCTCCACCTCCAACGCCACCAGTGCCCGAGCCGCCGGCCAGCTGCGACATCTGTGAGTTCAGTTTCCGGAATAAAGAGCTGCGAGACATGCACATCCGGCTGGTGCACGAGAATGGGGAGGCGGAGGGTCCCCAGCCGCAGAAGGAGCCCCAACAGGAGCCCTACAAGTGCCACCTCTGCTCGAAGACGTTCCGCATGAAGGGCTCGCTCCGAGTGCACCTCAAAGTGGTGCACATGATGGGAGTGCCGTGCTCCAGCCAGAGCGGGACCACCACTAACCGCTGCAATGCTCCCTCGCCGAAGCTAAACATTTGTGACCGCATCCGGCACAAGGAGGCGTCGGCCAGTGGCAGCGGTCCCGTCTCCAGCAGCACCAGCTCCCAGCCATATGCACTTAGTGGGGCGTTGAGCATGCTGCAGCAGTCGCCAGCCTCACCAGCCTCGCCGGAGGCTGCAGCCAGCAGCACGACCAAGCTGTGGGAGTGCGATGTGTGCACCAAGTCCTTCACCACCAAGTATTTCCTGAAGAAGCACAAGCGCCTGCACACCGGAGAGATGCCATACACCTGCGAGATCTGCGCGCGGACCTTCACCTTCCAGCAGTCGTACCACAAGCATTTGCTCTACCACAGCGAGGTGAAGCCGCATGTGTGTGCGGTGTGCGGGCGGGCCTTCAAGGAGCTCTCCACGCTGCACAATCACCAACGCATCCACAGCGGCGAAAAGCCCTTCAAGTGTGAGGTGTGCGGTGAGTGCAACCTTTACGATCCTTTGGGAACCAAATGAAATTAAATCTCTGATTTTAATTACAGGAAAATGTTTCCGTCAGCGCGTGTCATTTCTGGTCCACACCCGCATCCATACGGGCGTCATGCCCTACAAGTGTGAGGTCTGCCAGAAGACTTTCCGCTACAAGGTGTCACAGCGCACGCACAGATGCCTCAGCGATGACAGCCAGACGCCGGAGCAGCTCATCAAGGCATTTCTCGAGGGCAGCGAATCGCCAACGCAGCCCTCGCCGGCCAGTGCCGAGATTGCTGACATCAATGGCTGCGGCGTGGCGGACACGGACCAGGAGGCGTTGCTCTCCCAGACCATCGACGACATCGTTGTGGAACAGTGCCAGAAGCTGGGCATCTGTGGCGTCGAGCCGCAGCAGGCGCAGCCAGTGCCCCTCGATGTGGCCGACATACACTTCAATGGCAGCAGTTCGCCGTTGCAGCAGCTGCAGAATCTGCGGCTGTATTCCCCGCAGCAGGTGGAGATGCCGAGCTCGGATGGGGACATCTTCAAGCGCTTCCTGATGGACGCCACGTAGCTCTTCGTTTGAATGTTAATGTTACACTTTTGTGCCCTGTCCGTCTTACATTGGTTTACATTTCGTTATGATTCTTGAATGCCCAGCGATAAATCGGAACAGACCCGACTTGGCTGGGCTTCAGTTCCTTGAATATATTTATATATTGAAAATTTTTACTCTTACAATGGGGACTTTTATTTATTTACTCCTCGTCTGAGGCGCCGCTGCCTGAGCTGGAGCCGGAGCCACTGGGCGATCCACTTCTCGAACGGCTAGGCGTGCGCGAGCCAGAGCCGGAACGGGAGCCAGAACGGGATCTGGAGGCGGACTTGGAGCGAGATCGTGCCTTCGAGGGTGAGCGAGAGCGTGAGCCCGCCTTGGAGGGTGTGCGAGAGCGGGAACCGGACTTGGAGCGTGATCTTGAATGCGATCTCGATCTCGATCTGGCCGACCCGGCGCCAGACTTCTGGGATCCAGCTGGTGAATTGGTGCGCGATCGGGAGCCACTGGGTGAGCGTGTGCCAGACTTAGACCGGCTGCTGGCCCGTGAGCCAGACCCAGAGGCAGAGCCTGAGCCAGAGCTGGAGGCGCTGCGGCTGCGGGTTTTGGACCTGGATCGAGACTGCCGGTCACGTGCCACCTGGGCAGGAGAATCGCTGCCAACGGCTGGCTTGGGGGTTCCAGGTGCTGCCTCGGCAGCCTTCTCTTTCTCTACAGCTGGCGCTGGGGTGGGCTCCTCGTCAACATCCATTTCCTCGTCCACCTGCACCTCCCCCTCTTCTTCCTCGCCGGGAACCTCGAGCTGGCGCTCGCGATAGCGTTGCATGCGATGCTCCACGGCCTCCAACGGGCGATGGTGAACAACCTGTGGGAGGATGAATAAAGAGTTGTAATTGGGATTATTTTGTACTCTACGAACCGCCCACAGCTGGCACTTACCAGCTTCGTATTGTTGGGCTGCTGGCCGACTTTGACGCGTCGCTTATTGAGACGGACGCGCGTCTCCAGCTCATTGTAGTAGATGCCGTCTTGCCGCATGACAAAGAAGTAGTTCTCCTCGTAGCCTTTGGAGGCTTTCGTCTTGACATTCCAGTTGTACTCGCGGGCAATCTTGTACTCGTACTCCGCCTCCTCGTTGTAGAGTTCACCGGCAATGAAGTCGGCGCGCCGCTTCTCGAGCGTTTGCTCCGTGGGCAGGAAGTAGGCGACAAACTGTTCGCCACTCTCGTCCATCACACCACGAATCATCGCCTGGGACATCTCCTCCAGCTGAGAGGGTACGTTCTTGCCCACAGGAGCAGGATCGCTGTCGAAAATGACCTGAGCGCAGGGATACTTCCAGTTGGTGAAATCGGGAAAGACGGGCAGCACCTCCACGGGCACCACATTCGGCTTGGAGTAGTGCTTGGTGATGTCGGTCTTTGTGTCCAGGAAGGTCTTCTCGATGGCCTTAATCTGCGCATCGCGATCCAAATAGAGCGTCTCCTCACGGAGCGATTTCTTGACATTGTAGCCCACCTTGGCTTCGATGTTCTCGAGATTTTGCGGCTGGAAGCGCGTTTGTTCCGTGGAAATGTACTCGGATTTGCGCAACCAGGACACTGTACGGGAATGTTGGCGCGATCGCACCGAATCAGTGGGCGCCAGGGTCTCTTCCTCCAACAGTTTCTCATCAGCGGGATCCAGCAGTGTCATGGAATCCGCCTGGTACAGCTCGCGATTGATGAGGTCCACCGTAACGCCCAGATCGTGCTCCGTCAAGACATCGTACTTGAAATTCCTCTCCAGGGACGTGGGATTGTACTGCACGAAGCGATTGCTATCGAAGGGGTATTGCAGAAACTTTAGGTCGAAGGGTATGTCTGGCAGATTGTTGCCATATTTCACACGGCAAATGATTTCCGATCTGCAAAAAGAAACAACATCTTAAGTTGGTGTCTGGGTGCTTCTGCAGTGTGTTTTTTCACTTACTTTCGTTCCGTTTGCCGCTGCGGACGTTTGTCGGCGCTGCTATTTGCCACTGAATTGTTGATAGTTGGCGGCATATTGCTTTAAACTCTTTTATTTAAAGCTAAAACTTTATAAAATGCATTTAATTTCAAAAGAAAAACAAGCCAGAGTGACAGCGTATATATCGAAGTAAACTCGTTTGACCCTTATGAATATACCAAAATATACCTTTTATTTTCCAAATATACCGTAAATATATACCGAGCATAAAAACACTTAATATTTCCCTACACCAAATAAATAAATAGAGCTGCCATACAGTGTGCCCGTCCTCCGAAACAGTTTCGAGCAAAATGCGATAGTTGCTGCATCGAGCATGCTGGGCTAATCTATCGATATATATATCGAAAATATAGGACCTGCATTATTACAATAAATAATGTTTATAATTTAAATTCATAATAATTTTAATAATACTAATATTATAAATATATATTTGAACAAGTTGTTCCCATGTTAATATATGAAGGGATTAAGTGGGTTTAATTACTGTAAATTCTGAATCGTATAGACGGTACAAATCAATTAGATTTGCTTATTTTAATGATGCAAAATGTCAATCAATGGAAATCCATTAGATATAACTTTTAATTTTATAAAATTTGTTTGAAATTCTACAGAGGAATATATTTTACCAGACCTGTCTAAGATGAAAGTACTTATGGAATATATTTTACATTTGGGCACGTGTTACTTGTCGGTTTTGCTTTTTCACAAGTCTAAATCAATAATACACGCGCAATAAACCGTAAAATTGCTTATTCTTTCCACAGTGCCGTGACGGCCCTATATATCTCAGTAATAAAAATGACTCGTTACTTAATAAAGGCTTTATCTTTGTTCGTACTTTGTATGGCAGTACTTCTTCCTGCTGGAGCCAGGTCCATGGACTTCTATTCGCGCCATAGTACCTTCCTAAAAAATCCCAACTACATAAGTAAGAGAAAAGTTTTCAAAGAGATGGCAACACTCTGGCAAAAGGAGCCACTGCCACCTCCGCATCCAGGAGTGCATGCTTATTAAAACGCTGATGATCGGTCCTTCGACGAAGTTGTAACACATTTCCCTGTTAGCCATTTACATTATGGCCCATATATCATAATGATCTGTGAAATGGCAAGAGTAAACAGTGCCAACCCGACAGAGTCCCAAAGCAAATAAACACAAAAGATCGCAAAATAATTAAATTAGCGACAAATAATATTTATTTATTTTTTGTGGAAAAAATATGATTGTCACCTGTTTCTTTGGGCATCAATGTGTGTGCGTGCTGCGAAAAAGTTCCCTCCTGTCGAGTTCAATAACAAGGTGAAGCCCATCTGAAGGAGAGCGAAGAGAAATACTGTATCTGTGCGATTTTCAATCATTTATTTACATCGAATATTAGCGCCGCGAAAATAATCGTCTCAAGGAATTAGCATTTGCTTGTTGATTGATAGCATATCTGAAGGAAAATTAAGAAATCAACAACTCATCATTTGTCATCGATGAGCATAGATATGAGAGGTGAAGGTAAAGTATTGTTTGTGTAGGGATTGCCAGAACAGAAAGATAAACAGAGATTTTTAATGTATTTACTTGAAAGTTGTTACTAGAATGAAACTCTTCATATTGTGAATTAAACCTGCCAGGTTTTAATTCTTGTCTGTTTTTATGATATTATACAGCTCATCCTCTAAGCTACATTATAAAATTGTAGTGCATCCCCCTTAATACTCAACGTACGAATTTTCCCTAGTTCGCTAGAAATGTTTATAATTTTTCATTGATCAGTACAATTATTATTCCAAGCAATTAGATTCAGCTCACTTTCAGAACAGAAAGAGAGAGTGAAGTCAAGATAGAACAATGGGACTTGATTATTTATAGTTTTTTTTAGTCTTATTGCCCGCACGATCAAAGTGTTTTTATTATTCTTTAAGCTCGTGGAAACGTGACACGTTTTATCTGCTGTGTTTTGCTTTTCTGCGTAACTAATAATTACTGTCAATTAGTAATTATTGTTTAATCAATATGTCACATGATGGTCAAGATGGTCAGAAAGCCAAAATGGCAAAATTCGAACCAGTTAGGGCTGAGTTTTTTCGAAGATCAACCAATCAATCAAATTAATCAAAGCAACTAAACAAAACAGATCCAAAAAAGTTGCAAATCAATGGAGCATGCGCAACGTGCTGCCAATCTGACATATAAGAAAATTTCCATACATTCACGTTACCAACGTTACCGACGTTCTGCCGTTCTCAGTCTCGTATCTGGATCCCGATCGAGTGGCGCGCGCTCGGCTTCAGTTTCAAAAACGGTTTACATTTTGCAACAAGCGCTAAATTGGCTGCGCAAACATCAACGGGCTTTACGCCGTATTCGCAGGTTCACCCCGAGCGCCGTTCTTTTCGATCCGCCGTTTATTAACATACATATTTGCTTAATATATATACTAAATACACAAGCCAGTTGGGTGACATGCCCCTGTCAGTGTGTGAGTGGAAACTACTAGAGTTTTTGGCACTCTAAGTGAAGTGTGAAGAGAGGCAACGGATCTGCCATGAGTTCAGTATCCGTTTAAAGTTCACAGCGAATGGTAGCAGGAGTGTGTCCCCCCAAAACCCCCAAATCATTTATCAGCAGTGTCGCATGTCCTAACAAAATAATGATTACCAGAATAGGAAAATCCTTCTGACTTCGGCTATCAGTGATCTCTAATAGGTAAGTGCAGTGTCTTCAAATTCTCGCAATGTGCTCGAATTCATTCGGTTATTCCATACAAAATTTGACCAAAATTAACACAATTATTTATTAATGAAACACGCGTGTGTGAGCAGTAAATTTATTATAAATTTATGAAGTGTTTCTGGGACTGATAAATAATTTATTATCCTCCTAAAACATTACTATTAGCGGAGGAAAGTTTTCTATAATTTTAAGAAGTGGCTAAAGAAGAATTATTTAATTAGAAATTAATTATGATCCAAGGAATGATTGGTTGGTAGGTTTCAGTAGGTTTTTGGGGCACTACTCAAAGAAGGAAAGCAAGTAACAAACACCTTGTGCTATCCTTTGAGCAGTCAGCGATATCTAAAATATCAAAAGCTTGTTCTAAATGTTAGCTTATACGTTGTTACATCACTTTAACGACACTACTTAGGCCGGTAACTGAGGCACAATATAAAATCACAGATCTACACTCTACTTTAGCACACACAATAAATCGATGATTTATGGCTTCTTATATATAGTTGCGGCACAAGTGTAATTAATTATGCATAAAAAATTAATAAGTAACTGTGGGAAATTACGGAGTTCTGTCGAAACGGTTGAACAGCCGACCTGGAAATTCTCCTGAATAATGCATACTGGAAAGTAAACTGAGAATCTCTGGTTCAGTTATTGTTTCAACCCGAGAACGGCCGGACAAAACGTGTTTGAGTTCGTTATGGGGTCAGTGGACTGTCCGTTATGGGGGAAATCTGTATGCTGTAATGCGTTAGTTAGTTTAGTCGATTATATATGTATGTACATTTGTCGCTTGGCTGCCCTTTACCAGGAAAATTGTCCGTCCAACCATTGGAAAACACAAATTAAAGTCTCAAAAGGGAATTGAACAAGTGACTGAATAGAAAGTATTAATACGCGTACAGTGTGTTTCAAAAGAATACTTACTACTCGAGGAATACTTAGGATATTTAAAGATAGGTTCAAATTTGCTAGCTTAATTTAGCCAAACGGTTAGAGGAAAGAAACTGAATATTCACCCATTCCTACAGCTGTGAAACGCACTGTATATAAAGACATCTGTCAACAGGTGTCAGGGGAACGCTCATACATAAGTGGCAATAACCCACAACGTCACTAGAATTATGATTTTTTCTTGGCTCTGAGTCAGCCAGTAGCTGCTTCCATTCCATTGCTGCTTTTGCAGTAGTCTCACAGCCTCGGACTCACTCTGATTTATTCCCATTTAATTAATGGCAAACTAAATTTAATTTGAGACAGATTATGAGGTTGTAATAGCATGTGTTGGATGCAAATGTGGAATTAATGCAGAATTATATTCTATATGGAAATTGGCGAATGGCTAAGGAAATTTCTGTTGTGGGAGATTTATGTGGCTGTCTTCAGTCTCGAGTCTCGAGTCTAAATGTTATAATAATATTGTATACACACAAAAACAGGCAAAGTACTGCTCTTGCTTGCGGTTAATTATAAATAATTTCTTGAGTTTTCCTTATGCCTTGTTTACCTTTATTCAGATGAAGCAATATTTTTGCCTGATATATGTCTAAATATTAGGTTCATTTTTACAATAGACCCCGCTTTAGGCCACCTGAGGAGTCTGTTAAAACATACGAATAAACAAAAGGAAGAACAATCCGAAAGAAAACACAAATAAAGTGTCAAATAAATACAATTTGGGTGAAGTGAAATGAAACGAAATGAAAGCAGAATGGAGGAGGGATCGTAGGAAATAAAATAATGAAACACTTAAGCAAACAGAGACAGAGAAAATCGAAATGAATTGCGGGTACGACATGGCGTATGAGTGCTTTTTTTTGTCTGTTTCTTTATTTCGTTTTGGCAAGAGTACATAGATTTTGTTGGCAGACCTGAGAGTGATACTATATGGGATGCTCGCTCGATGCTACAATATCAATGAGCACAGGGGAACTCTCTTTCGGTCGGTGGTGGTGGCTCTCAGTCTTGTTAAACTTGAACTTGACTTTCGGTGAGCGAATGCGAATGCGAATGCGATGGGGAAAAGTCTGGGGACAAGTGCAGTTGTCAGAGCATCTAATCGAATCGAATACTGATTTGGACACTACACTGCCACACTACGGCCTATTAATAGAAACCCTCGTAGTGCGGCAGTGCTACTCTTCAGGCGTCAAGCGGAAATCGAGTCAACCCACCAACAAGCCAAACGCCAAAAAGCCAAAACCAAAGAAATTTCTTTTGTAGTTCGAGAACGGCCCTTGCCTCCTACACACATACTACAGAACAGCAGCAGCGAGTGCTCTTTCGGATAAATCAGTTTGCGTTTCGTAGCGATATTCCAAAGAAATCATAAATATTCAGCACTTGAGATATTTCCAACTTGTGATTGCTTTACCCCGCCAAAAAGGAAAATCGAGCATTCGGTTGATTTGATTTGATTTGATTTGATTTGTGGACTGGCATTCGTGGGTGTCGTGATTATATAAATTCAAATTGCACAACTAACACAGCGCAGCAGCAGCAGCAGCAGCAGTATGAGAATGAGAACCGAAAGGTTCCGCAATAATCAATCAAATAATTAACCAAAAATGAGTTTCATCCACCCCGACGTTAGTTTAATGGGAGGTGCTGGCAATGTGCCCCAATCGCTGGAGGAGTCGCCTTCGGAGGCGACAAGCGATCGAGTGGAGATCAAAATTGTGATGCTGAAAGTGCAGGTGATTTATGAAGATTTTGTGTTCATGCTTCATTCCGTGTTCGTTCCATACATCAAAAGCTCTCCTAATTGGTCTATCATAATATCAGGTATACGCCATGTACGACAGGGGCTAAAACCAGAAACAACACGCAAGTTGTTAATTTTATTTCAACTTTTTGTCTGCCGCCAACTTCAAAACTCATTTTATTTTCCCTCTAAATTGTTTACATGGATAAAGGCAAAGAAAACTTTTCTCATTGTTTCTCTTTGCCGTAACACGCGGCGTATGCGTAATCAACGTAACATCCACATTCAGAATAACAAGGCGGAAAGGCTGTCTAAAGATAACGAAGATTCACATGCCCTACTGCAAAAAGTTTCATCCGTGGAATATTTCAGTCAGATATTTTGTTTTATAGATTAAATGGAAATAAACAGACTTTACCCTCCTGTAAGGGTATCAGCCCTTAGCCAGAACTTTCCAGCTAATTGCCATGTTGCGCGTGCCAATCGCGGCTCTCCGTTAAAGTAAAGATACACGCGTTGCCCTGCCCCCATCTCGAACCTTTCCAAGCTATTGTTGATGTAAAATTTATTAGCACTCTCGTTCGAACAATGAATATATGACAGCTGGCGATAGGGGCTGCGGCTGTCGAATTAGATTTGTAAATAAAGCAACAATACGAAGGCGCACAAGTGCATGACACTAACGCTTCCACGCTGTTTGCTAATTGAAACAATAGCAAAACAATAGCCATATAGAGCAGCTTCTGACAATAATTGTAAGGGAGGTGGCAACAAGTTTTGTTTGAGATCTTTGGTTTTCGAGCCCTGCAATTGATTTACGGGTGTGACTTTCACTTCCACTTTTGGAGGTGACAACATTTAACAATCCTATTGTTATTTTGATCTACTCTACTATCACTGAAAAAGTTATTTCAAGGTTAATTATATTAAGCACGTGTTTCACCTGTTCAGCAAAATCCCACTTAGCCTTCTTTAGACCAGTGTATATATTTCCTAACTTCTATTACCATTTTTATGGGTTAATGAAGAGCCTCTGGGAGATGGCACAGAAACAGAGACAGTGCAAGGCACGCAATGGCACTTGCGTAAGCAGTTTTGGGGTATTTTTCGCCCATTGACAGAACCACAAAATTGCCAATTAATTGATTCAATTGGTGGAAAATGTATATTTAATTTGTCAAACAATTGATATTCCCAAATAATTGCGGCTAGAATAAGAGCATTAATAAACGTCTAGAGGAGGGTCCTCAGCAGGATTAAACTTCACAAGAGGCATGGGTATGGGGCATCGGAAAAGGGACTGGGGCATCCAGAAACAAGTTGAGCAACAGCTGCTCGGCAAAGCTCGGGCTTTAGTTTTAGCCCCGGATTTAGTGCGGCAACAGGATGGGCGGGGAGTGAAAGTGAAATTGCGGCCAACACGTGACTGGCCTCATTGAAACTTTGCTCGTGAATGAACTCTGGGTGTCTGAAGTTTGCCGGAGCAGTGGGCGCTCGGCGAGTGCGGAAAAGCTTTCGGTTTCGTTCTCGCTTTCACTTCGGCGCGAAAAACTGCAAGGAACAACGAAGTTCTGTGTCATTTAGCTTCAGCTGTGGAAGCTTTTCCCTGCTTTTCGGGAAATCAGTTGCGCGTTTGGCGAACGCCAGCACCAGACAAAACGTTTCACAACGCGGACCACGCAGCCTTTTCCGTAGTTCAACTAGATTTATTTCTCCAGTTTATTTTGTTGGCCCAAAACGCGTTTCACTTGTTTGTTGCTTTCTTTTATATCTTTTTATGCATATTTTGATTGTGTTTTTTGGTTCAAAAATGAACTATACGTTTTAGTGGAAACTAATCGGAAAATAATCCCAAAAATAAAGTTCTTTGAAATGTTAACAATTAAATTGTTTACTCAAAATTGGAGTAGCTGAATTGTCCGGAGAGCCGTACATATATTTTGTTGAGCTATCTCCATAATAGTTTTGGCTGAATCACGCGTCGCATGCGTGATTTTAGCTCCAGATCAAGTATAAGCATCGTTGTCTGTGTTTGCAGCGTTTCAAAAGTTTTAAATGTTTCTCAAACTAAAATAAACTACTGGAATAGAGAATTCAAATAAATGTAGTGGCACAAATGATTAATTAATTAAACAATCAACCAAACAAAATGCAATTACAAATTGTGTAAAAGTGTGAATTTCGAACCCTCAGCGAGCTGAATATTCTCTCGCAATCGAGTTCATATTTCGAACCGGCCTTAGAGCGCATTATGCTCCCGGACATTGGCAGCAGTTGCGGCGTTAACGGTAATGGTAGCCATCATGTTGGCAATGGTCATGGCCTAGTCAGTGGCATCCACTCGAGCGACTCCTCCAGTGGCATCGCAAGCGGCAGTGCGAGCAGTGAAAAGTTGGCAACGCGCACAGATGAGGCGAGTCTCGATAAGGGAAACGATGAAGGAGACGCCGATGAGGATGAAGATGATGACGATGACGATGATGATGAGGATGAAGATGAAACTACGGTACAAACCTACACACACACATATTTTATATGTCTGTCTATATTCTGTCGTGAAAATTAGCTGTACTTATGGGCATACGCAATTTTATGCCGAAAGATAATTAGAAAGTCTTTGCCGCAGACCAAATGGTGTGTGTAAGAAAGATAAGCTCGAAGAAGGAGTCAAAAAGTACTTTCAAATGAAAGCAGATTACCTACCACTCTTGAATGGGTTTTAAAGCATTCAGACAGATATTTAGCCACTCCAACATTTTTCAATTTCTACCCAAAAACGAGAAGAGAAGGAAACGTTCTTCATCTCTCAAAGGAGTACTAGAATGTCAGATGTTATGTTAGTGTAACCTCTACTAATTTATTCCCTCAAACCTATCTCAACGTTATCCCAGAGGATAAGATTGCTCTCAACCCATTGGGTTGGCTAATTTTCCTGCCTTCCCTGTCCAAAGAATTCATCAAATCCATTCAATTATTCAGACAATCATTCACAGATGCGAATGAGTACCCATTGGGGAGCATTTTCTGTAGGGTTTAGGCTTTGGTTAGAGAAAGATTTTCCTGGGATTACTGGGGTGTGTGAAATCAGACATCAAGAGGGGAAGCCAGAAGAGAAGAGAAATGAAAATGTGGCCAAAAGCAAAAGCTAAATGAGGCAAATGACCATTTAGGCCTGCCCTCGTTGTCCTCTGTGATGTATAAATTTCCCCCAAGAGTTGTCTGCTGCTTGCTTTGACTACGGCACGTACAAATATCTCATCTCTATCTCTTACCCGACATCGAAAGATATTTCGCATTTATTTTGCACGTTTCTCCTACTGTTTTTGCTTTGTGGAATTTTTTAATTAAATTTAGTCATTGGTGACGTCAGGCAGTCCCCAAGTAAAATCTGTTTCGGGTGCTGACTAATTAAGTTCAAGTTTAAAACTAAACATGTGTATCTGATCTGGGGTTCAAAGCTGGGGTGTGTACCCTATCGGGGTACTGTACTTTGGGGAACTTATCCCAATCACCAGCCCCTGAAAACACGACTCATTAAGGCAGCAGTCCCGTCACACGTGCATTTCAAGTCGTGCGTATTGACTTAAGAAACCAAAAAACGAACGTAAAAAGGTGACTGACAAAATTAGTTTAACATGCGAATGCGATAAACGTCAGAGTTGGAAGCATGTATGCCATACCATACACTCCTCAGATTATGCAAATTTGTGTCTCCTTTTTATTTTCATTTTCATTTTCCCAGGGAGACTTATGCAAATTAGTCAATACAGGACACGCTCTTCGGTCGTGTGAAAATAACCAACAAAAACATACCCACATACACTTTTATAAATATATATCCATAAATATTTATGCCGAAGAGATAACATTGATCAATTTGTTGAGCTTTAGAGTTCGATCTCTAACTAAACTAAAAACAAATAAAATTTCTTAAGGAAACTCGAAGGCTTCCCTCTGTGGAAGATGTAGGAGAACCTGTTGATGATTTGGATATCAGAATAGCTTTGCTACTGATTGGAACTACTAATGGGAACCCTTTTGTTCCTTTTGACTTTAAGTCAAAATTATTTTTCATAAGGTTTTTGAAGATTGAAAATCATCTCATCAAAACTTATCCCTTTTTTTTACGAAAGCTTTACCTTTTATCTACCATTTACAAAAATATTTAAATCCTACAGAATATTCCCTCCGTTCCATCACTGAAAGAATTAAAACCCACTACAACCTTTGAACCCAAACCAGACTCCCATTTGTCACCGAGCAATTTCCTCCAGACAGACACGCAAATAACTCTCTCTCCAAAAAAAACAAGCAATCAACGAAAAATTTCCAATTCAATTTGTACGACTTCAGGGCCCGTACAACAGTCGCGTGTCTCAGTTGGCCACACTCGCCCCCTCCCCACCATACACACACAAACCCATCTATGGATGTCTGGCCGAAACTAGCCCTAATCGTCCAGTCAGTCAACTGAACAATCTCTCAGATAGCTGACTATAAACAAAGCAATTTGCATGAGGCTGTCAACGAATGAATTTGCTTTGCGTGAAAGCCATGGACCTCAATCTATGTTTCTGTGTGTTAATGAACCTTCCTCGTATCAATTAGAAATATTTTTTGGCTAAGGATGGATTGTACATACTCCTGGGTATATGGCTTTGAGCTGGAGATCTCCGTTCATGTATTATGCCAGTAAGGTTTTGTGCACAAAAAATGATAAAGTTTATTCGGTTCGATGCGACGTTGGGCAAATGTTACCCAAATAAACGTAAAGCAAAGTATGTTATAAAAGACAATAAGTATGCCACATGGTCGTAAAGTTACGGGCCACAAATCTCAGATAACAAGGCACAGTGGACGTGGACAAGCGCCAATGGTGGAATAAATTGTAGTGCTTCAAGCAGAAGTGAAAAGATTATTAGGAAATTCTGCTGCATATCTTTTTCTAGGATATTAAATATTTCTCAAGATTTTCATGGTTTGAGGTTACTT